GGGTGGGCTGGATTTAGATCTCTTGCACAGGGACTCGTGACTGATGATGTGTCATCTTCTACATCAGTGGTCCCCAACCTTTCCAGTTTGGCGGCCTGGCGCAGGGTGTGTGAGTGGTAGGCACACATGCACGCGCACAACTCCAGTTTTGCAAGCGACGTGCACACCCTCCACTCACGCAAATGCTTTGATTGAGCTGAAGGTGCTTGCACTCCTGCGTGAAGCTCCACTCATGCAAGTGGAGGGCGCTTGAGAGGAGGGTGTTCACGTGAATCAAGCTTTGCACACATGCGCGTGTTTGCCTGTTTCTCGTGAGAGTAGAGCTTCACACCAGCTTGCTTGCCCATTTCTCCCATGGCCTGGTTTTGAACAATCCCCCTTGGATTGGGGACTCCTATTCCACATCCTACTGGCTTAAAAAACAGAGAAGGGCTACCAACGAAAGTAAAATAAATTCTGAGCTAGATGGACGAAAATTCCGATGTAATTAAGCCAGAATGCAGAGCTTCAGCGCATGATATTTTTCAACCAAGAGTTGGGAAATATCCAGAAGGGTTTAGGAGTGATTGCTCCAAGCCCAATTTTGATTTTGATCCAGCGACTTCCAACATCTCCCTTTTTCCCCTTTCTGAAGGTAGGGCAAAGGCCAAATATCCCATCTTGCAACTGACAACAATTTGATGGCACATTCAGGTAATCCCCAACTTCCAATTATTCAGAATAACAGAGTTGGAAGGGACCTTGGTGGTCTTCTAGTCCAACCCTCTGCTCATGCAGGAGATCCTACGCCATTTCAGACAAATGGCTGTCCAGTCTCTTCTTAAAAACCTCCACTGTCAGAGCACCTACAACGTCTAGATCAGTGGTTCTCAACCTTTTTAATGCCATGACCCCCCAACCGGTCGTAAGTCGAGGACTACTCAACCGGTCGTAAGTCGAGGACTACTCAACTGGTGCAGCACCGTTTGCAGAATGGGACTTTTGGCGGGCTCAGCAGGGCAGAGACAGCCTGGACAATTCCTATTGGCTTTTGAAAGCCAATAGAATTAGACTCTATTCAAGAGAGTCTATTCTATTGGCTTTCAAAAGCCAATAGAATAAAAGGGAGTAGCACAGCTAAGGAAAAGGGGGGAAAAATGGCGGACTGCGTTGTTTGGCGACCCCCGTGAAATGGTCGTTTGACCCCAGATGGGGTCCCGACCCACAGGTTGAGAACCACTGGTCTAGAGGCAAGCTGGTTAATTGTTCTCACTGTCAATAAATTTCTCTTTAGTTCTAGGTTGCTTCTCTACTTGATTAATTTCCATCCGTTGCTTCTCGTCCTGTCTTCAGGTGCTTTGGAGAATAGCTTGACTCCCTCTTCTTTGGGGCAGCCCCTAAGATATTGGAAGACTGCTATCATGTCCCCCCTCGTCCTTCTCTTCATTAAGCTAGACATACCCAATTCCAGCAACCGTTTCTTATATGTTTTAGCCTGCAGTCCCCTAATCATCTTTGTTGTTCTTCTCTGGACTCTTTCTAGACTTTCAACATCTTTTTTACATCGTGATGACTTCATTCACCATCAGTTTTAGTCATTAGTCTAGGAATACCTGTAATCAACCAGTGAATCAATGCAAAAACCAAGCTTACTGGGAATTCCATAATCCTGGGGAAGACGGAAGGAAAGAGAAGATGATGAGGAAGAAGGTGGGGTGGACTTAGTTACAGAAGTGATGTATACCTCTTTTGGAGGGTCAGAAAGACCAGGTGGAGAACAAATGATCTGAGTGAAGATGTGATCTATGTAATCACTGGGCATTACCAACTTGATAGCACATGAATAATATTATGGACCCTTATTTTCTCCTGTCTCCTTCATCATCTTTTTTTCTTACCCTGATTTTTGCTTTACTTATCCTGGACTTATCACCATCATTGGGACCTGAACTTCCACTGCTAAGCGAAGCGGTTGTTAAATGAATCGTGCCCAATTTTATGATGTTTTTGTCATGGTGGTTAAGCAAATCACTGCAGTGAAGTGTGGCTCACGTGGTCATTAAATGAATTTAGGTTTTCCCTACTGACATTCCTTGTTGAAGGCCAGTTGGGAAGGTCAGAAATGGCATCCACATGACCCGGGGCCTCTGCAGCTGTCGTAAATAAATGCCAGTGGCCTAAAACACCCAATTTTTTTTTTGTCCTAAGTTCAAGGGCTGGTTGTAAGTGACTTTTTTCAGTGTCATTGTATCTTGGGACAGTCACTAAATGAACGGTTGTAGGTCAAGGACTACTTGTACGGGGAAAATATCCTGAAAAACAGGATGGGAAAATCACATTTCCTATGACTACTGCAGTGGTTCTCAACCTTTCTAATGCTGTGACCCCATAATACAGTTCCCCATGTTGTGGTGACCCCCAAGTGGGTGTGGCCACCAATAAGAGGGAGTAGGACAGCAAGGGAAAAGGGAAAAAATGGCAGACAGCCTTGTTTGGCGACCCCCGTGAAATGGTCGTTCGACCCCAAATGGGGTCCCGACCCACAGGTTGAGAACCACTGGTCTACTGGAATTGGGGTATGCTTAGGTGACTGTCCAGACTGGGACTCTTCTTAATCATTTGACTTAGCCAGTTTCACTTCTTTTCCAGCCCTGTCTTTTTTATTATCATTATTTTTAAAGGATGAGGGAACCAGAAGTACTTTAGATCAGAGGTTCCCAACCTTTTGGGCACCTTGGTTCTGCAGAGAAAGGTTTTTCCATGGACCGGAGAGTGCGTGGTTTTGTGTACTGCCTGCATCCCACGGATGGGGCTTTGCTTGTTTGTGCGGACCGGTTGCTGGCATGCCGCGGCCCATACTGGTCCACGGACTGCGGGCTGGGGACTCTTGCTTTAGATATCCAATCTAATATACAGATAGTTGACTTACAACTGTTCATTTAGTGACCATTCAAAGTTATAAGGGCGCTGAAAACAGTGACTTACTGACCCCTTTTCACACTTGCGACCATTGCAGTGTCCCCAGGGTCACGTGATCAAAATTCAGACGCTGGGCAACTGACTTGTATTTATGACCGTTGCAATGTCCCAGGGTCACATGATCTCCTTTTGCGATCTTCTGACAAGCAAAGTCAATGGGGAAGCCAGATTCACTTAACAACCGTGTTACTAACTTAACAACCGCAGTGCTTCACTTAACAAGTGTGGCCAAAAACTCAACATGTCTCACTTAACAACAGGAATGTTGGGTTCAGTTGTGGTCCTAAGTTGAAGACTATCTGTATTGATATAATGACAGCATGATTGAAACTTCTGTTTTTCCATTTCTAGGCTTGTTTTTTTCAACTTCCAGTTTGATTTTCCAGGGTATAAGAAATCACAGTTGGGCTTTTTTTGTTTGTTTTTTTCTTATGGGTAGTTCAGCTGCTATGCCAAATTTCTCAAAAAAAATAATATTTTCAGACAGTTCTGTATTGCATTAAAAAAAAAAGAACGATTCATTTATCAACAGACTCATTCATGCAGAACACACACACACAAACACACATAACATCCCACGCTTTGTCTGTCAGACGTCCTGGAAACTTGCTGAAAGTAAGCTTACTGGATTTTTTTTTTCTAAAATACCATATATTTTTTTCCCCATATGACTCTTTGTTTTGATGATGAAGAATTGATTCTTCCCCCAATCATTGGGCTAGGATGGGTGTTGAGTCAAGAATTTGATAGCTGATTGGCCCAGCATTTGCTCGGAAGAGGGTTTGTTTTAGTTATTTTTTTAAATTCCACCATTATTTTCTTTTTATAAGTAGTTCAGCTGGCATGTCTAATACTTCTTCCTCTTATTTTCTTGACAACAGTCCTCCGAGGTGGGTGAGACAGAATGATTGACCCAAAATCACCCAGCCATCTTGCAAACCCTGAGGCGGGATTAGAACTCCCTGTCTCCTGGTGATTGGCCCCAAGTCAGCCACCCCGCTTGCATGCCTGAGGCGGGACTAGAACTTACTGTTTCCTGGTGATTAGCCTAAGTCACCCAGCTGGTTTTTATGCCTAACGCAGGGGTAGAACTCAAACCAACTTTCATTCCTAAGATGGTGCTAGAACTCACTGTCTCCTGCTAATTGGCCCAAAATCACCCAACCAATTTTCATTCCAAAAATGGTGCTAGAACTTACGGTCTCCTGGTAATTGACCCAAAACCACCCAACCAACTTTCATTCCTAAGGTGGTGCTAGAACTTACTGTCTCCTGGTAATTGGCCGAAAGTCACCCAACCTTCATTCCTAAGGTGGTGCTAGAACTTACGGTTTCCTGGTAATTGGCCCAAAGTCACCCAACCTTCATTCCTAAGGTGGTGCTAGAACTTACTGTCTCCTGGTAATTGGCCCAAAGTCATGTAACCTTCATTCCTAAGGTGGTGCTAGAACTTACTGTCTCCTGGTAATTGGCCCAAAGTCATCCACCAATCTTTCAGGTCTGGGATGTCTTAAATATACCCCAGTTGCCAAGTGCCCAAATTTTGATCAGGTGACCTTGGAGATACTGTGACAGTCGTAAGTATGAGGACAGTTTTAAGTCCTTCTTTCAGTGCCATTGTAACTTTTGAACAGTTGCTAAACGAATGGTTTTCACTTGAGGACCACCTATACATTTGCCATGCCTCTGGTGGAACAAGGAAGACGTTCTGTGGGAATGTTGGAGGCAGGATACTATTTTTTAATGCTAAATCAAAATTTTGATTTAGAATCTTGAAGTAGGAGATGCCTTCTATTCCAGTTGGGCTCTTGATTCATCCCTATCATTTTCTGACTGCATTATAAAGTGATCCCCAATGGTTTGTTCCAGGATGTTTTCCAACATCTCACTCTTAATTCCCGGATTCCAAAAATGACTTCCCATCCAAGATTTGACCCAGGCTGACCCCACTTAGCTTCAGAGATGAGTCAAATTCAGCTAGCTGGTGCCAGCTAGGCAAGATATATCTCCAATTAACTTTACATCTTTTTTTTTTTCCATAGGACAGCTATTATTTCGGAAGGCCTTAAAAGGGCACGTGCGCCAAGTCAATAGCAGGACACAGACCTAATGAAGATACAACCATGGGTAAGTCTTTTTTTTTTAACTTTTCTTGCTTGATCCTATATCAAAGGGGGTGTAAAATGGAGCATCTATGAATTCTTGTGGAATTGATAAAGTGCACACAGATACAAGGAGAGCAATTAACAAAGAGTAACAATGAGGTTGTGTGTTTTTGATACAATTACTTCTGCTGACCTAGCCTAGAATTGTGTTAGACCTTCTAGCATTGTCTCCCACTACGGACTGATATTCAGCTTGTTCTGAATGATTATAGATAGTCCTCAACCATAATTAATGTTGTAGTAGTAGTAGTAGTAGTAATAATAAAAAAAAAGTTGGAAGGGACCTTGGAGATCATCTAGTCCAACCCCCTACTCAGGCAGGTAACCCTATACCATTTCGGACAAATGGCTGCCCAGTCTCTTCTTAAAAACTTCCAGTGTTGGAGCATTCACTGCTTCTGGAGGAAGGTTGTTTTGCTTCTCTCCTTGATTAGTTTCCATCCGTTGCTTCTTGTCCTGTCTTCAGGGGCTTTGGAAAATAGCTTGACTCCCTCTTCTTTGGGGCAGCCCCTGAGATATTGGAACACTGCTATCATGTCCCCCCTCGTCCTTCTCTTCATTAAACTAGACATACCCAATTCTAGCAACCGTTCCTTATATGCTTTAGCCTCCAGTCCCCTAATCATCTTTGTTGCTCTTCTCTGTGTTCTTTCTCATTCAGAGATACAACAGCACTGAAAACAGTGACTTATGACCATTTTTCACACTTACAACCGTTGCAGTATCCCCATGGTCACGTGATCAAAATTCAGACGCTTGGGGATTCACATCTTAATATAGAAGTTTGTCAAAGGGAATATAAAAATAAAAGCAGAAACTTTCCTTCAGGTTTTAATGGAAAAAAACTTGGGGAAAAATTTAGAACTTTGATGTCATATGTTGACAACAGCAATACAAAAATGGAAGGATTCATTAAATAACTGTGGCAGGAAAGTCGTAAAATGGGGCAAAATTCTTGTAACAAATGTCTTGCTTAGCAGCAAATATTTGGGGCTCTATTGTGGTCGTAAGTTGAGGACTATCTGTATCTTCTAAACTCTCCTGGAGAGCTGATTAGTCAGATCCTCTACAATGTAATAATTGGATTTTATGATGCAGATCAAAGTGTCTCTGCATTCCTTTGTCTGGGAAGATAGAGGGAACAAATCATGGAACAAAATTACACATCAAAATTTCTTTAAGCCCTACACAATGCAGAAACCACACAATTAGGTTTCCTTCCTAATGGGTTAAGAAAACAAAAAGTTGGATCGTATTTTAGAAATTAATTTTTTTATCTTCCCATTATGTAATTGTCTTTCAATCAAACTTGAAAGGGTGGAGAAAATTGATTTTCCCTGGGGATTTCAAGTATAGATAATCACACCAAGTGTTAATTATTAAGTTAATCATATAATCATTTTATCTGTCTGTCTATCTATCTATCTATCTGTCATCCATGTCTGTCTGTCCATCTGTCTATCTCTCTATATCTATCTGTCATCCATATCTGCCTGTCTACCTACCTACCTACCTTATCTGTCTGTCTGTACATCTGTCTACTTACCTACCTACTTGTCTGTCTTTGTATCTATCTATCTATCTATCTATCTATCTATCTATCTATCTATCTATCTATCTATCTACCCTCCTACTTACCTACCTATCTAATCTATCTGTCTGTCTCTACCTACCTACCCACCTTGTCTGTCTGTCTGTCTGTCTGTCTGTCTCTATCTATCTATCTATCTATCTATCTATCCATCTATCTATCTATCTATCTCTATCTCTACTATCTCTATCTCTATCTCTCTATCCCTATCTATATATCTACATCTATATATCTATCTGCATCTATATATCTATATTTTTCTATATCTAAAGTAACCTTTTACTCAAAAACAGAAAAATATCATGCAAAAATATACAGATTAAACAATCAAAATAATATTAAAAATTGTACAATAAAAGACCTTTTACTTTCATTTTAAACAAAAAATGCAGAGTGCATGCTATTAATAAGAATAAAAATGTATGATATTTCTATAATCCTAACAAATCTGTCAAATCCTCAGTTCAAAACTTTATTTTTATCTTTTCTCAAGCAAGAAATCCAAAAGTGGTTCTCCGAACAGAACTAAAAATGAGATCGTAGTCAGTTTTGCCATCTCTTGCCAATTTCAAAATCCGCTCTTCAGTTGTGGGTATTTGTGTATCTTTCCACCTCTATCCATATAAAAGTCTCAGCCCTGTGGTTTTATGTTAACATGCATTTAACTTTGTGACCATTTCAAAAACTGACTATAGATATAGATAGATACAGATAGATAGATATAAATATAAATAGATGGATACAGATAGAAATATAGATATATTGATATAGATATAATTTGTTCTGGTATTGAAGAAAGTCAGAAGACAATCTGTCTCCTATTTTTTGTCAATTTCTAACTTCCCTTTTTGATCCAAATTTTTCTGGTTTTTGTTATTTTATATTTTATATGTTTTTGAAATGTCATAAATTTGATTTTAAAAAAAGTGTACAAGTAATTCTCCACATATGACCACTTCTGAATCCAAAATTTCTAAGCAAGACAGTTGTTAAATGAGTTTTGTCCCGTTTTACAACCCTTCTTGGCATAGTTTTTAAGTGAATCATTGCAGTTGTTAAGTCAGTAACACGGTTGTTAAGTGAATCTGGGTTATCCGTTGACTTTGTCAGAAGGTCGCAAAAGGAGATCACTTGACCTTGGGACACAGCAACAGTCATAAATCTGAACCAGTTGCTAAGCGTTTGAAATTTGGTCATGTGATCATGGGGATCCTGCAATGGTCATGAGTGTGAAAAACGGCCATAAGTCACTTTTTTCAGTGCTGTTGTAACTTCGAACCAAACAAATGATGGTAACACATGTATGAAGAACATGGGAGTTTTGTCTTCAGATAGTGCTTCTGACTCACATCTGCTTGAGGGAAACACCTACAGTTTGTCTAATTCATTGGCCATCATAATGCTTTGTTGGGGTTTTTTTTGACAAGAACTTTGTTGATACCTCATCTTTTTCAATTATAGTTGAAAAAGTTCCCTCACAAATGAAGGTCTGATGTTATTTTGCGCTTCTACTGAATTCTCTTTTTCTGGTCCCTAACTTCTAGTTTCACTAACCCAACTAACCACAATTGTCATGAAGTGTCAATAGTCCAATATTAGTCTTTATGCAAATTAAATTGGGTGACTGCAACTGGGACAGGGTGTGTAGTTCTAGTTGTTGCACCTCCAAAGGGTTAAATGTGGAGCTGAAGTCAGCTAAGATGATTCAGAGGTTTGGAGCAGCTTCCTTAAAAAGGAAAGTTGTGACATTTGGGCCCTTAAGTCTGGGAAGAAGATTGGACGAGGCCTGATTTAAGCGCCCAAAATTATTTGTGGCATGGGTAAAGCGGAAAAGGAGAAGCTGCTTTCCCCCTCCCAAAATGATAGAAGCAAAAGTCAGCCTCAAGATATCCAAGGTCCCTTCCAGCTCTAAAATTCTATATATACAATTAATAGATATGTAAATTACTGCAAAATAGATAAAATATCTAAGTCATTATCACCCAGTTTTCACTGTATTTCTTTTTCACTTTAGAATTTTTAGTTTCCTTTTTTTAACGTGAACCCAAATAAGTGTTTTGCCTATATGATAACCAGGCATTTCTGCGTTTCTGATTTTTCTTCTGTTTTTCAAAGCCGCTTATTTCCTCTTTTTAAAGAGAGCTCCCCCCTCCCACCTGAACATTTAAATTCAAAGATATTTGTGTGAGAGGCAGCTGAGTTCTTAAGAACAGTATAAAAAGGGAAGTTGAGTTAAAACCAGCAGTGGGAAAATTCTACTTCCTGTGAAGCAAACATGGATGACACAGAGGAATATAAATGAGTTTTTATTTATATGTTATAATTTTGGCTTTCTAGGAAATCTACCCCCACAGACCCCGTGATTTTTAAAGTAAGAACTGATCTAGCAACATATTTCCTTCCAAAAAAGCAACCCATTCAATTAATATATTTTCTTTTGATTGATCAACAGCAATATTCTGAAATTTGCATATTTATTGCTTGATTCCTTGTACATTGCTTTATGTGTAGTTCTCAGCTTACGACCACAATTATTACTATTTACAAATAGTAGTAATAATAACAGTAATTGTAATAGAGTTGGAAGTAACCTTGGAGGTCTTCTAGTGCAATCCCCTGCTCAGGCAGGAAACCCTATATCATTTCAGACAAGTGGTTGTCCAATCTCTTCTTGAACACCTCCAGTGTGGAAGCATTCACAACTTTTGGAGGCACCCCATTCCCCTGATTAATTGTTCTAACTGTCAGGAAATTTCTCCTTAGTTCTAGGTTGCTTCTCTCCTTGATGAGTTTCCATCTGTTGCTTCTTGTCCTGCCTTCAGGCACTTTGGAGAATAGCTTGACTCCCTCTTCTTTATGGCAGCCCCTGAGATATTGGAACACTGCTATCATGTCCCCCCTCATCCTTCTCTTCGTTAAACTAGACAGACCCAATTCCAGCAGCCGTTCCTTATATGTTTTAGCCTCCAGTTCCGTGATCATCTTTGTTGCTCTTTTCTGTACTCTTTCTAGAGTCTCAACATCTTTTTTACATCATGGTGACCAAAACTGGATGCAGTATTCCAAGTGTGGCCTTACCAAGGCCTTGTAAAGTGGTATTACTACTTCACGTGATCTTGACTCTATCCCTCTGTTAATGCAGCCTAGCACTGTGTTGGCTTTTTTGGCAGCTGTAGCACACTGCTGGCTCATATTTAGGTGATTGTCCATTAGGACTCCGAGGTCCCTCTCACAGTTGCTACTATTGAGCAAGGTACCTCCTATACCAGTGATGGAGAACCTTTTAGAGACCGAGTGCCCAAAAACTGGTCCCGCCCCTGCCCCGCCCCTGCTCCACCCCCACTCCACCAGCCCGCAGGGCCACTCATCGC